GACGGAAGGCCCCTCAACGAGGCCAGCTGCCAGAGGACCCTGCACGGTTTCCCCCGGGGCCGTGGGCGACCCGAGGAGGAGGAGGAGGAGGTGGAGGTGGGGGAGGAGGATGAGATGGAGGAGGAGGAGGAGGAGGAGGAGGAGGAGGAGGAGGAGGAGGAGGAGGAGGAGGAGGAGGAGGAGGAGAGGGGAGGAGGGAGGAGGAGGAGGAAGGAGGAGGAGGGGTCGCCTAAGCCCTTCGGAGAAACCCTCCAGAGGACCCCTCGGGCCCCGAGAGCCCCCGTGAGAGCCCTCCGAGATGCACTCCGACGCCAAGAATGCCGAGGCTCCCCCGAGGTCTCGCTCGCGGGCGGGGAGGCTCGCCGTGCTCTCCGCGTTCGCGAGGCGCTTGCGCAGCACCAGGGGCCATCGCAGCGCGGCCACGAGGTTGCTGATGAGCTCCGCCACCTCGCGGTCCAGCACCCTGTCTCCAGCCTGTACCTGGCAGTCGGAGGCGGCTGGGGGGTCTGCTCTGGATGGGCCCCAGCAAGACCCGCCAGGAGGGGAGAGGGGGGGGGGGGAGCAAATCTGGCGTCCGAGGACCACCTGGAGGAGGAGGCGGCCCAGATGGCACAGGGAGCGAGATCAGAATGCCTGCAGTGGTGCCTCTCCTACTCCCCGACGGTTCGAACCAGCGATGCGCCACCTCAGCCCCCCAGCCACCTCACGGTCGAGCACCCCGTCTCCAGCCTGCACCTGTCGGCGGAGGCTCGGTCGAGATAATGGTGGCTCTCCCTGGCGACATGCGCCCTGTTTGGCTCTTCTCTTCTCGTCGCCACGGCGGGTGCGCCTCGAAAAACCAGTTAGGATGGACCCCGCGAGGGGTCCAGTGACCGATTTTGGGCGGCTGGGGGGCGCCAGCGGGGGCGCTCCAGGGAGGGCCTCGCCTTTTCAGGTCTCTCGAGCGGCACACGAGGCCTGTCTTCCGCGGCGGGAGCCCTGGCGGCGGAGGCGGCGGGAAGCCAGCGGAAGCTGGCGGAAGCTCCTGGATGCCCCCCCCAGCAGATCTGGCGGCGCGCACAAGGGGTCAGGGGGAGGGGGGAAGGCTTCGAAGGCGCTGGCTTCACGGCTGCAGACAAGGCCCGCGCCTTCTGAGAAGCAGGGGTGCTTCTGAGAAGCCTTCCCCCCTCCCCCTACCCCCCTTCTGCGCGTGGAAGTAGATAGCAGCAACCTTGGATTCGGGTTCCCCAGGGCGGGCCAGCTGCCCACCTCACCCGGTACCTGCCAGACCCACGCTGGGCCCACGACTGGCCCAGGGCCAGGATCGGTGAGGGGGAGGGTTGGCGTCCCCCGGAGGGTGTGCGTGTGTGTGTGTGTGCCCATTTTGCGCCTGCCGCCCCGCCGCCCCGGCGCTGCACCGCCGCCGCCTGGCCCCGCTCTGAGCGGGCCCAGCCTCCGTTTCCTTCCTGCCCGCGCCGGGCTGTCCCTCTCCTCCTCACGTGCACCGCGGCTTCATCCCACCAGCCCTCTGGGCGTAGGTGGTCTAGCGATATTATTTCTTTCCTCTTCCAAAAACCCCCCGTCCCCTTCGGGGAAAAGTTTATCACTGTTCCCTATTAATAAACACACCCTCCCCAAGGCGACTGGGAGCCAACCAGAGACAATGCGGGCACCCCCCCACCATCCCTTGCAAGAAAAACAATACAAAACACACTCTGCCTCCAAATTCGGAGCACGCGCAGCCAACCCGATGTGGCCTCACCCCACCATCCCTGTCAAAAAACAATACAGAGTACACTTGGCGGCGGCGGCCGCCGCGGCTGCGGCGGCTGCGGCGGCTGCGGCGGCGGCGGCGGCTGCGGCGGCTGCGGCGGCGGCGGCGGCGGCGGCGGGCGGCGCGGCGGCGGCGGCGGCCGGCAGCGGGGGGCGGCGGCGGCGGGCGGCGGCGGGCGGCGGCGGCGGCGGCGGCGGAGGAGGCGGCGGCGGCGGCGGCGGCGGCGGATTGGCCCCCAGTAGCTGCCCATCCAAAGACGACTGCTGAATATGCTGAGGCTCGGGCCAGACTCGGGTGCTACGTATGTGTTGGGAGGGCGGGTGGGAGTGAGCGAGACGGCTTGCGGGCGGGGAGGGAGTCTTGACCCCTCCCCCTACCCCCTCCCCTGGCCTTTTTCGGCGGCGGTCGCGGGTGGCCGGAGGGTCCTCTTTCGGCCCCTGGTGGGGCCAATGTTTGACACCCCTCACGGGGATCGTGGCCCCCGAGGGGGGGACCTCGATCGGGAGATGTTTGCCTTCTCGGCGTTTCGCTTCCGATGCGCTTTGGGGGCCTCAAAATGGCCCCAAGATGGCCCAAGAAGGCCCCAAGAGAAGATGCCCCTAAGACGGCCCCAAGAGCGCCCAAGAGCGCCCCAAGAGGGCTCCAAGAGCGCCCCAAGAGGCGGTTTTCAGGGCCTCAGGGGGGGACCTAGATCGGGCCCCCCCCCCCTTTGATCGATAGCCTCGAAGATGGCCCCAAGAGGCGCTCCAGGGCTCCCAAGAGAGCCCCAAGACAGCCCCTCTTGGGCCCCAAGAGGGTCCCAAGAGAGCCCCAAGACGGCCCCAAGAGGCCCTCGAGCGCCCTCAGCGAGCCCAAGATGACCTCCAAGATGGCTCAGATAGCCCAAGCTGGCTCAAGATGGCTCCCAAGATGCTCCAAACGGCCCCAAGACCGCTCTAAGAGCGCCCAAGAGCGCTCGAAGAGAGCCCCAAGAAGCAGTTTGCGGGCTCCTGAGTTGTAATCGATGGCATCGAAGATGATCCCAAGAGGGTTCCAAGAGGGCCCCAAAAACTCCCAGAAAGCACCAGCAGCAGCAGCAGCAGCCGCAAGAATACCTCTAGATGGTTCCATGAGTCCTCGTCCGCGTCGTCCTCATCCTAGTCCTCGTCCTCCTCGTCCTCGTCCTCATCCGCGTCCTCGTCCTCCTCGACCTCTTCGTCCTCGTCCTCCTCCTCCTC